AATTATAGCAGCTCAGCATCCACCATTTTTAAAAAACCTTTAAGACCATTTGTAATGTTTGCATGCCATGTGGGAAAAGTGAAAACCAGAAAATATTATCTCCAATCTCATCCTTATTCCTTCTACATCCATGGCTCTCAAAGTGTATTTGCCAGAGCACAACATTAACATCACCAGGGCACTTATTAGAGATGCAACTTCTTGGTCCCTATCCTAAATGTACTAAATCATAGCAAGTGGGGCCTTGCCATCTGTTTCTAAGTCCAAAGACTCTGATACACAGTAAGGTTAGAGAATGATTGTTCCAGGTCAAGGCAATTGCTTTGGCTCCATAGAAATATAGATTTGCAGTATGTATGAATTTATTTACTGTATAACAAATCCACATATATTTAATATTAGCATATTAGTATTTTCTGGGACTTGTGCATCAAGTTAATACAGCAATTTTGTTTTGCCAAATGACTACATACCAATAACTATATCTAAAAGCAAAGAATCTGGGCAAGGGAGCATACACCTATAATCCTAGCAACGGAGGAGGCTCAGGCAGAATATTTCAATTTTGAAACCACCCTGGGCAACATAGTGAAACTGTCTCAAAGTTAAAAAATGAAAGGGGTTGAGGACAGAGCCAAGTGTTTGATCTCTTACCTGACATTCACGGGGCCCTAGGTTCAAGCTCCAGTACAAACAATGGTACACACTAAAGAAGACACAGTAAGGTCCTAGAGTTTTTCGAGGGGTTCTAATCACTAATCTCTGGAACAGGCACAGTGGAACTGCTCTGGTTGTAGCAAGGACCAAACACTGGGAGCCTGGTTACTGTAGTCTTTGTGTTCTCAGAATAGAGTTTGAGGGCCGGGAATTTAACTCATTGGTTTCGCTGCCTGCTGTGCAAGTGCAAGGACCCGAGTTCGATCCCTGGTACCAAAAAAAAAAAAAATTGAGTTTGGAATCCACTAATTTGTGGAATCCTTTCCTTAAAAAATACAAAGCCCCAAAAGAAGACTGGAGGTGGTCCACATGGCTAAGGTGGAGAAATGCACCTCTTTTCACACAAAGTCCTCAGCCCATTTCTTTATCAATGTATCTTTTCCACACCAGCCAGGGTAAGTTTAATGATTTTGATAGTAGGAAAGATAGATTTAAAAAAAAAAATCAAGAATCTTCATTTAGCACTCACCTCAACCTGTATAAAAAATCTGTTATATCTCCTTTTTCTTTAACCATTTTTCAAGACCTTTAACTTCTAAAATGGAAATTTTAATGGCTGAATGGAGTTGATTCACTGAGATCTATCATCTTTTGGGTAATAAAACCTCTAAAATTAGATATTTGAGTTGTTTCCAATATTTTACAATGGAAAAGCTTCAGTAATCATCAGTATGCTCCACTCTTTGTGCTTTGGTGATTAGTTCTGTACAGTAAATTACCAGGAAGAGAAACACCGAGTCAAAAAATATGAAGGTTTTAAAGCCAAAATGCCTGATTGCCCAATTGCCCTCTAGATAGGCTCATAGCAAGCACTGCAGTGAGATAAACTAAATTCAATCGCAGCACATTACATTTTCTATTTCTTTCTTATTTGCTTTGCATAACTAAGTGACTTTTAAATCACTGATAGTTTTTCACTAATCAAGTTTTAAAAACATTTCAGAGTTAACCACACAGTTACTTTATAACCCAGCAAAATCATTCTCAGGTAATGACCCAAGAGAAAGGATAATAATGTCTAAAAAGACCTGTGACTGCCTAGACGGGAAACCAAGAGTGGTTACATAAACCACTACCAACACCTACCACTCCTCAAGCACCGTGGATGATTTTGTGTGCTCATTACATAGCAAAGAAACTGAGGGGTCATTCTTAACTATTTTGCTTGGGAATGCTGCTAGATTTTAGAGTCACAAGTAAAACCAATTGTGAGCTACAAAAATAAATAAACATGTACAGCTGAAAAAAATAGAAATAATAATTTTGAAATATTCAGTAAAATTAATACATGGTAAGTTAGAAAAACAAAAAATAAAAATTGTTTAAGGAATTTGGGGAAGAACTATTGCTCTTTAATTTGTGCTTATTTTCTCAGACTCTGTGTGCGTTTATACACATTCTATGTAGCAATAAGTATAAAACATATGCAAACTTTTATGTACATATATATGTGTATGTATTTTTTTATGATACTGAGGAACGAACCCAGGGCTTTAAGCATACTAGGCTAACCTTCTACTACTGACCTACATACCTGGTCCTGTAAATCTATATTTAAAACATTTTATGTATCACAATAAATCTTACTCTTTTTTTCTATTAGGGATAGATCTAGAATCTCATGTATGCTATGTAAGTGCTCTACCACTGCACTGCAGTCCAGTCCTGACTTTTTTTTGGAACCAGGGATCGGACTCGGGACCTTGCGCTTTCAAGGCAGGCAGTGGAACCACTGAGCTACATCCCCGGACCTCTCAGCCCTTCTTTAATGTTTATTTTGAGACAGGATCATGCTGAGTTGCCCAAGCTGGCCTCAAAGTTGAGGTCCTATTGCCTCAGCCCCCCAAAGAGGTGGGATTACAGGTCTGTGCTAGCATGCCTGGCTTAAACATATTTTTAATTAAATTGTTATCAGATACAGGTAGCCCTAAATGGAAAAAAAATGATTTTCTTATGTCTGGGAAACAAAACATAAAAGAATATTCACTTCTTTTTCCCCAAGTGTGGCAGATTGAACCCAGGGCCTCAAGCATGCTAGGCAAATGCTGTCCCATTGACCTATATCCACAGGTCCTTAGCAATATTTTAAACAAAAAATTACAATATTAAAATCATCATTTGTTAGCAGTTCAGTCTCACAGAGTCAATTCTGGCCCTGCTGATTCTGGTACCCTATAGGCATTCTGAATTTCATATATCTCTATATGCTCTTCATGGTTATAGTTTTAAATAGCTATACATAATTGTCCAAAGCCAGATAGGTTAGGTGAATTCTGGTTCAAAGCAGACAATGCCTTGATATTTGGATGCCACCAAGTGGACAAACTATGTAATGTTCCTGAGAGTGAACATTTTATATTTTATGCATTTAAAAAACTTAATGTTTAAGCTGAAATAAAAAGTAATTTAAATTAAAAAGAGTAAAAAAAGAAACCCACACCATTTTCAGAAGTGCACTATAGCATGATCCTTATTTTTCTTGAAGTAATTTAACTCTGAAATCACAATCTAGGAAAATCAGGTAAGTGAAAAGAACATGCTGTCAAAATTGAGGCCTTCTACAAATTAAAACAGGTGTGGATGGTACACCTGGGTCTCTCTTGAGCCCCAATCCAAAGAATGACTTGAGGACTTCAGAGCCTTCACAGCCTTTGCTCTGAATCACCCAAGTGACTTCTAACAAAGCAAGTGGCCCTGTCAGGAAGCACAATGATGCAGGCCTGGTGAAGGAAGAGAAAAATCATCAAGGAATCCACTAACACATGGGCAAGGACTTGCCAACTCTTTAGGAGTCACCAGTATTTTCTCCATGTGGTGGGTTAACTAACGATCACCTGGGAATGCCCAGCTGAATTGAGTCAGAGTGGTTTGGGTGTGGAAGACCCACCTGAGGATTGTTTTCAACAGCGTAAAAGGAGAACTTGAGAGGACGATTGTATGCTGTTGATTTTCTTGGAGAAGCTTGCTGCGGCTGGTTTTCCTGATAGGAACTTGGGCGTTCTTATTGTCAGAGGAGCTTGGGTCCTTGCTGTCACCATGGATCGCTGCTGTTCTTTTCAGGGGAGCTCTAGTTGTTGCATGAGCATGGCTTCCTGGGTCCAGTGCAGATTCCTGAGCCTGGTGGCACAGACCCTTCACCATGCAGGTGCAGACTTTCTGGCTTCCACCACTGGCCTTTGGGCCTTCTGGGTGCAGATCCTCAATACAGACTTGGATGGGACATTGCTGTGGGCACCAGGCCTTCAGCTGGACTTATGCAGGACATTGCCGTGGGATCCAGGCCCTCGGCTGGATCTTTCAGGTCTCCATTTCTCTGCATTTGACTTTTGGAGTGACTATTATAAAATAATCCTGTAAATTATGTGTCCTGCGTTGGACCTGTTCCCTTGCAAACCCTGACTACAGCACTCCATATAGCTCCTCACCCCTCCAGTGCAAGCATCACTGCTACACTGCAACAGTAACTGGCTGGACCATGACACACAAAAAAGATGACTTCAAGAAAGTGTTTGGCGTCTTCTAAGGTCAGCAAAACCATGTCCTTTACAAACGAACACCTCGGAGTGAACCCCTTTGCTTCCACCAAGCGGGAGACCATCATACACTCTGGTCTGCCATGAGCTCCACATTGCTCCCAAGACTTTTCTGACAATTTTTTCCCACATGTCCTTGCTCATGGAAAGGTGACAACCTCCACAGACCAAAAAGAAAGAGTTTAAAATCAAACAAACAAACGGCAGGCATGCCACTAAACCATCCTAAGTCTGTGAGCCGAGACGCCCTGGGCTTTGATGTAACTTTGTCAGCTGAGAGAGAAGCTGAAGCCCAGCAGCCTTACAGCGGGGAGTCACCGAGCTGTCTTCTATGGGCTGACGTGTGTGTGTGTGTGTGTGTGCCCCTCTGTTTGCTTCAACTTTAATTCTGTTTCTTAACTGGAAAAACACTCATGATAAAAATTTCCAAAGGTACAGAAGGAAAAGTTGTAAAAAGTCTACTTAGAAGCAGCCATAATAATTCTTGTAAATCCACACATAAATATTTTATGCATAAACCAACAGTTGCATTTATCTGTTCTCCCCATGTCAATTCTATCACATCCTCCCTATTGTTACACCAAATACAATAATGATTTTATTGCTTAATATATCAAAGTGTTTATGCCATATCAGTACATTTGTTTTAAAGTTGTATCATACACTATTAGATGGATGTCCCATAAGATATTTAAGGTGTAATTAAAATTGCACAGGGCAAATAATGTCTTTTTAAAAATGGAGATTTACCTTGTTCTCAATTTGTACCACTTTTATCATTATCTTCTTAAAATTCTCTAGGTGAATCTGATTGCTTCTTCAACTGGATCTGAATTAATAACTTCATCTGGAATACCCAGTCTGAGCGCTTGACCTGCCAAAATATATCTTCCTAAAACAAAACAGAACAAAACAAATCATAGAACAATGTGAGATGAAAGTGAGGGTACTGGTCTTTCTAGTAAGAATGGTTGTCTCTCCTGGATAAATATCCGTCACTAGATAAAATGAATAAGGACTGTTCTGATTGCTAGGATGGAAAGATCATTGCAGACATAGCCAGGAAAACATGATCCAAGCCCCAGCTCTTATTTTACACATTGTGTTGCTGTGGGGAACTGTACTGGGACTGTAATTTCCTCACTAATAGGAAGAATTATGTTTACTTTACTAAATCAAAGGTGAAAATAATAGTCTCTTTTCTTTTTAAATCCTGAAGATGCACTTTATAACCTATAGATCTCTATAGGAATATGAGGTGATTGATTTCAGCTAATATAATAGAAGCGCTGGCAGCAGAGAAATAGCAGCACTGTCTACCTTACACACCCAAGAGGCTGCAGTTGAGTAACAAGAGACAGTCCCGGAACATAAACACAATTGAGTGGAGGGGGAAAAAAGTAGCAATGAAGTTGATGTTACATAAGGTCCAATTAAAATTATACAGGGCAAATAGGGTGCTCTTCTACTATTTTTGGCTACCTGGTATCTCAACGCTTCTTTCATTTGTGGAATCTCTGTGTCGTGAGCTTTGGAGCCCCATCTTCTAATACAGAAGCTGAAAAGGAGGTAGAGATGATGAGTTAATGGTTTCTTTAGTGCTCTGGCAGCTGTGGTTCGTAGTCATAAGCTTGGTGAACCAAGTGCTCTGTGGGGGGTTCTTAGTCTGGAGTCATTGTTACTAAGCAGTAGCAACAGTTGAAATCTCACTCCCCTGGTGGCAACATCTGGTGTCCTGTAGCGGTGGTACAGGCAGCTTCCAGTGTCCACTGATAGTGCTGACAGCCTCCAGTATGGAATGTCACCTCTAGGGCCTTACGGAGGCTTGATGGGGATTTGCATTCATCCCAGATTTTCTCAGCAAATCTTCACCAGTTGTAAAGATATGGCTTACTGTGCAAATTCTGAAGTAGGCAGCTGAAGTCACAAGCATACTTTCCCAGGGGTCAAAAGGGGTCATTTGTTTTCGTTCTGAAATGTGATTTTCAAATCAGCCTGGGTGGCAACGATTCCAGCATCTTCCTCCTCTTATACATAGTGTTGATGGTTGGCATCTCTGGGACAAAACTTCCATTCCTGGTTCTTAGGAGTGCTTCACAGAACTGCAAATGAGTTTTCACTTCAGTGACTTTCCAGGAGGCCCTCTGGGAAAGCAACAAGAGATTGTTGATTGTCATTGCAACAAGTGATTCACATTTTCCAAGCCTACTTTGTATAAAATGTGGCAACTGACTTTCCAACAAAGCCAATAAACCTTCAAAACTGCTTTGCCACATGGAGACCAAGCACCCTGCATTAAAGTACAAGTCTTTGGAGTTTTTCGAAAGAAAAAATACATGAACACGAAGAATAGAAGCAATTACTGAAGGCTACCACTTCCTCAAATGTGTCTGTTCTGAAGTATTATTCTTGTGGCTAACCACATTGCTAAAGCTCAGAAGCCCTTTACTGTTAGTGAAGAGTTGATCCTGCCTGCTGCTAAGGATATTTGTCATGAACTTTTAGGAAAGCTGCATATGGTGGCACATATTCTCTTTTTTGGTTAGCACCATAAGTAGACAAGTTGATGAAATAGTAGAGGATATCTGAGGCACAATTTGTAGAGGATCAATGAGTCACTGTGGTCTGAAATCCAGGTTTACCAATGTTGACAACAAGACAACAAGGCTTGTTTTTGTTGGACATATTTTTCAGGAGGATGTGAATGAGGGTATGTTATGTGCACCTTTGTTGCCAACCAACATCACAGCTGCAGATCTATTCAAGTCTAAATGATCACATATTAGGAAAACTAAATTGGTCCTTTCCTATCAGTACCTGCATGGATGGAGTAGGTTCCACAACAGCTTTTTGATGTCACTACTCTGGTCAAAGGGGTAACTTTGAATGTGAGTCTACCTACTGTGCCATCCACAAAGAAATGCTGGCTAGTCAAAAATTGTCACCTGAACTTGACATTTTTCAGGATGTTATTAAAATTAACTACAATAGTAAGCTAGATTTTTTGCAAATGAGAAAGGGAATAAGAGATGAAAGGAGGGGAAAGAAGGGGAGGGAAAGGTGTTGTAAAAAGAATTAAAATGTCGTGTATATTACCAACTCCCCATGATGAATGTAATCACTATGTGATGCAAACACATACTAATAAAAATAAAATTTAAAAAAGAAAAATCAAAGTGCTAAGTGGGACCTTCCCAAAATTATCACATTAAAGTGATTTGACTCATGTCTGTTCATATAGCTCTGTGAGGAGATGGAATCAGAGTGCATGTATCTTCTCTTATACACAGAAGTGAGATGGTTTTCTAAAGGTAGATCACTGGCCAGAGTTTGTAAGATATGAGAGCTGCTCTGGAAATTTCTTTTAGAGAAACAGCCACCACTGGCAGCACATTTTAGTGACACAGAATGGGTCACAAAACTGCTTACTCATGTGACATATTCAACCTGTTCAATGAACTTAATCTGTCACTTCAGGGGAGAATGACAACTGTGTTCAAGTTAGCAATTAAAGTGACTGCATTCAAAGCCAAACGGGAATTATGGATGTGATGAGTGAGCATTGGGATTTTTGACGTGTTTCAAGCATTTGCAGAGATTTTTTTAAAAAGATCAAGCCAGGGCCGTTTTTCTTCCTATTGATGCTGATCCCCTATCTCAGCTTTCCAAAGAGTTTGAGTATCCTCCCAACCACAAAAGACCCCCCAGTTGTGAAGGAATATATCCACAATCCATTTGTGAATAAGCCAGGTGAATTGACTTTGTGCTAGAAGAGGACCAACTGCTTGACATCACAAATGACGGTGGTCTTGAAAGTATGTTTGAGACAACTTCATATTTCTATATGTTCTGGATTAAAGTTAAGGCAGAATATCCTGAGACTGCCACAAAAGAACTGAAAAGCCTGCTTCCATTTCCAACATCCTAACTATGTGCATTTCCAACATCCTATCCTATCTATCTGCAGTGCCAACAACCAAAGCAAGATTATGAAGTGGACTGGACATAAGCAACAGACTTGGGGCGTCATTGTCTCCCATCACCCCCAGGTGGGACCATCTAGTTGCAGGAAAACAAAGGCTGGGATTCATTGATCTAGGCAATTGCTGACAAGGTTTACACCGACCTGGGGTAATTAAATCAAGTGAAGTTGGAATTCCAATGAGTCTGGGGAGAAGCTGGGTTCCTCTTCCACTAAGAACTCCTAGGCTGACTTCTAGGAGGTCAACTTGAGCCTATCAGAAATTGAAGGTAGAAAGGGCATTGCAGGGAGATAATACATTCAAGTTTAAGACAAGCATCCCTCTGGATTTCGTCTACCCTTAAAAAGATTCTTTTAATAAATCCAGCAAGACTTGCTACAGGGCAAATTAGATTATGCCTTCTTTAATTAACAGCATAAGCAGAGCTGTGGTAAAGCTTCATGTTTAGACATATCTAACTTCTAGCACATTTTTCCTCTGAGGCTATTGTGACCTATCAAAGACAACAGCAATAAACGGCCTTTCAGCAAAGCTTTCTGGGACCCTGCAAGAGTGAGGAAGCACACACACACACAAAATGAAAAGACAATCCACAGAATGGGAAAGAATATTGTCAAATGATAGCTTTGATATAGGACCTGTATCTAGAACATACAAAGAACTTTAACAACTCAATAATAAAAATAGAGTGAATTAAAAACAGGCAAAGGATCTGGATAGATGCTTATGGCTATACTTACAGCTTGCCCCAAGAGAACCCTTAAACCCCTCCTGGAGCTCAGCTGTTACCTGTGCATAGGCAACCCTACCATGACAGCCCAAAGCCAGCTCCAGTCCTGCTCCTAAGGCCACACCTTGGATAGCTGCCACCACAGGTGTTTCATTTCTCTGTATTTCATCTTCTACACTTGCCAATCCTTTGGCAGAGGAGCTAGGAGAGTTAAAGCTATGTATAGTCACATCTAAAGGACACAAAGACCAGGAGAAAAGAGGATTGAGAAAAGCTTGGATTTTCTTACTAACACCAAAGGGCTTAATCACTCTTAAGAAAGCTCCAGACTTGTTGGGTCCAAGAGACACTTCACCAGTGGATTGGAAACACATGAAAGGAACTAGTAGACTGGGAAATGTAGAACAAAATAAGAAAACAATTTTCAGATCTTTACGAGGAATCCTGTAACCCTCAAAGATCTGTATTTCCATATAGCAACTCTATCCAAAGGAGAATGTAAAAGCCCAGAGAAGGGGAATAGGAGCTTCCACCCAAGACCACCATTTTGACCCTGAATCAGCCCCACCTATTTTTTACATGGTGTGGTTCATCAACTCCATTCACAGTTATTTAGCCAAATTATCTTTGTTCAGAGCACGAGTCCTTACCATATGAAATGTCAAGGGAAAACACATCCATATTTGTGAGTAACTTGTTAATCAACTGGCTTAGAATTATATCTTGATAGATTTTTAATGAATAACAAGACAGCATGTCTTGCCTTTCCTGATTATAAAAAAATAATAACTTAAGATTTTAGTAAATTCTGAGTTTTTCCCCTGCCCATTTGTAAATGGCTTTGTGGCCATAAGGGAGTTAACTTTTTTGTCTTGATACCTATCTTTTTTTTTTTTTAATTTTTTTATTGGTACATTTTAGGTATACAATACGTTTACATTTATCATTGGGTGCTTGTACCTGTACATGATGTATCTTGGTTCTTATTTTTTTCCCCATTACCTGTGTGTGCTTCACCCCCTCCACCTTGATACCTATCTTAAATGACTGAAGTGAGAATTAAATGAAAATTTAATATATTTTTAACATTGATAACATTTTGGAAAGTCCTATTTTCTGTCTTATTTTTCCATGATATTATATGTACTGAGTTTGGTTTTTTTTTTTTTAGTTCTTTTATTGGTACATTTTAGGTATACAATACATTTACATTTATCATTGGGTGTTTGTACCTGTACATGATACATCTTGGTTCTTATTTTTTTTCCCCATTACCTGTGCACCCTTCACCCCCTTTGCCCTTCCCTATTTACATAGATTTCATTTCCATTTTTTTTCTTTTCTCATAGTTTCTCCTTTCCCTCTTTTCCTTTCCCCTTCCCCTCCCTTCACTCCTTCGTCTTTGGACCTTTTGTACTGAGTTTTTTTGCTGGAGCATTAATGTGTTCTCTGAAAACAGTAAGCTTTGAACAAAGTTTGAAAATTAATTATTATATATTCAGTGCATTCACCTTTTTTCCCCTTGGGAACTGAACCCAGGGCCTTTGCACTGAACCATATCTCCAGTCCTCTTTATATTTTCATTTAGACACAGGGTCTTGCTAAGTTGACCAGCCTGGTCTCAAGCTTGTGATCCTCTTACCTCAGCCTCCCAGAGTGCTGGGATTACAGGCTTACATCCAGCCTCACCTGTTTTATTTACTTATTTTTTAATTCATTATCTGTTCCTCATGTAGCATCAATCCAGAAATCATGTTCTTTTTACCAATCCATCACATTTGACTCTCTAGTTCAGTGTTTTGTTTTGTGCTGTTTTTATGATTTTTTTATTCTTAAAAACAAGATGAACTCCAGTTTGAGTCTCAGGTCTATCATTCCTGTAGATTTAGAGAGAATGAGTTTTTCATGAGTAACCTAAATTAACCTTTATTAGATAAACACATCATGTGCTGTGCTAAGTTGTTTCATGTATTGTCGTATTTAAGTTTCATAACACCTAGGTTAAACCACCCATTTTGCAAGTAAGGCAGACAAAGCTTTGAGAGGTTAACTACTTAGTTAAGACATACGACTAGTGTTATGGTTTGTATCTAGATGTTCCCCGCAAAGCCTCATGCAGTCATAGGTGGGGCTTTTCAGAGGTGGTTGGATCTAGGGTATGTGCTGCTGGGATCAAGGATGTGATTCTGGGATTGATTCATGTTGTGATGCTAGGATTAAGGCTGCCCCACCCTGGGCGTGAGTGCTGCCCGCCCTAAGGTTGGGTAGCCTGGATAAGATATAAGGGGCAGAAAGAGGGTCACTGCTGATTGCTTGCTGCTTGCTACTTTGCTGTTTTGCTGCCTTGCTGCCTTCTGCTTGCCATGAACTGTTTCTTCTCTGCAAAGCTCCTCTGCCATGCCACCCTGCCTTGGAGCCAGCCAACTATGAA